TCCGGCGGCATTGAAGGCGAAGAGCGCTACCCGAGAGGTGCACTATCCTCGTCTGTACAGTTTTCAATTGTGGTTATTGAATGCCAAGGATTCGCTCCAAGCCGTACACGGTCCACATCCACATGACGTCCAGTATTGCTTATTGAATTCCGGCTGCATAGATCAAGACCGTATCCCCTTTATTTGCAGGATAATTGTTTGCAGACGTTTGCATACTGGGGATACGGGCTGAGAGGTACACCATTCTCGTGTACGCCGTGATCGCCCGTGGTTGTTGAATACCGGCGTGGTGGACCAAGAGATGTGTCACACACTTGGGCGAAATTCTCAACTTCGGTTATTGGAAACTTTAGATAAGGGCCCGGTAGAACCGAGCCATTGTCTACAGGATGTTCACTGTCAGCCCCTGAGCCCCGGGAACATGTGCCAAGGAGCTTGCCTATTGCACTGCCTCGAGAAGGCATGCCCAGTCGATCCCTGCCCAGCGAGGGGTCTTTGGTATCTGCGCAAGCAATGTTCAAGGCTTCGTCAATCGCCTCTGATATGCTTCAAGGAAAGGATACTACTTGAAATACGCATCGAGCGGCTTAAATGGTGAATTAACTTTTATAGCATCTCTTTTATTTGGGTACTTTGGGTACTTTACAGCTATAATGTTATCTTGGAATAAACGAACCCGAAGTAGACAGTTATTTTGTTTTAATGAAAAGGAGAGTATTGAGTGAGCGGGGGCTTATTTTCATTATTGCTCTTTCTGGCGGGGAGATTTCCCCTGAAGACTTCCTTGAATTGACTGCACCTTCGCAACGGCCGTGTTTGCTCCTCTGCCGGCATGGCTACAAGATTCAAGTCAGCATTGTTAAAGCCTTATTGCACGATTCTTTCGGTGGAGTGAGCGTTTAGTCTGTGGATGGATACCGGAAAACTGGGTAAAGATAGCGCCTGCCCGGAGACAAAATCACAAACTTGGTCTCTAAAGTGAAGAAGAAAATGACGATGCGGAGCCAAAAATGCACTGCTGGCATTGAGTCCCCAGCTACATGTAAGCCGGACAAGGGTCTGGCCATCATGCAATTTGCCATTGGTATCGTTCAGCCGTATCCTGGGCTACTCGAGTTATCAAGATGAGGTGTTTCCTTGGAATCGTGACATCTCTACGCTGAGCATGTACATACAGGTCCTAGAAACACGAGAAGAAGCAACAATACCATGGCCTTGAAAGACAGACACAACAGCCGACTCAACTACGTGAATGAAACTTTAGTCCGAGCACATTTCATCATTACAAACACCCTGACGAGAAACCCACTGCGAGGAAAGATTGTCCCCAAAGCCATGCACAAGGGATGAGGGCTTTGATTGATTCCTCCTTGGCAAACATGCCGGTCCTCCGCTTAGCCAGACGGCAAGCTAGGCTTGGTGGCCATTTTGCGGGCCAAGAGCCCATTACATTGCCTTAAACTTCGGTCTGCCCAAAGCATCGAAAAGAAAAACCAGTGTGTCTCTTGTATTTTCTGAGCTTGCACAACTTGCCCGCTTGCCTCGGCTTGTTGTTGCGGGCGCCGGTTCAGACACGGGACTGGAAGAGACTGGTCACGAGACAAACCGCGACACCCTCAAATAACTAATAAGCTGTGATTAGGAAGCACCCCAGTCGGAATCCTGGGCGCTTGCGAGGAGACTCGTGTTGTCGACAGTCACAGACTGAGGCTGAGGCTGACTCTGAGGTTGATGATGCCAAGGCACGGATCCGGACTGTCGGGTCGGGCCGGCGGCGTTGACGGATGAATGGCTGGAGTTGGACGGGTGGAGCCACTCAATCTCTCGGATGAGATGCAAGTTGCTGGCTTTTACGTTCTTATTCCGTGACACGGTTCTAGATTCACGTTTGCCAGCCGCCACCGAAACGAGGTCCCGAAAAGCGCAGTGTGGTGTGTGTAGCTGTGCACGGAGAGACCCTTGGTCGGCAGGCGCAGCAGGTTGACAGACGCAGCTATTTATGCCGGGTTAAATCGGAGATGCAATGCATCTCGAAAAACGTAAAGACGTCACATCGCGGCAGTGTTCCAAAGTCGTTTTGTGTCTCGTTCCAGCACATTCAGAGTCCAGCGTCAATACTGTGATAAGGGCTCTGTGAGGGCTTGGAGTCAATAGCTCAATTCATCCAATGACAGTCTTTGGTATCAATGGTCCTTGGTTTTCCAAGTCCTTGAGGAACTAAAGGTCTCTATAAATACAATAAGTCGGTGAGGGTCTTTACCCTAGGTCCTGTGATCAAAGCCCTCGTGTAACCGTGTTACAAATACTCCCAGTAGGACGGGATACAACCCGGCCTGCCCCAGTCAATAATTGCTGTCACTTTCGGATTCGACCCTGGCGACAAAAACAGTGTTGGGCGGAGCTAGATGACCATGTGGACAGCCCCAGCCCAAGGTAAGCCGTACAGAACCAATGCGAGTGTGCCGAAACAAACGGGTTTGCCAAGTCTCTGCCCAGCAACATTGGTAATCGGGAGCTCACGGCCTACCAGTCGGCGCGAGTGGAGCCAGCCGGCAGCTGCCGCAACTGATGATCCGATCCGGCACCGAACTGGCCGGCGGCCCCACGTACGGCGCTTGTACGAATATTTAGGCTGTGTGGCTGTAAGAATCCCCGATGAAGCGGCGTATGTAGATTGCAGCCCCCGACTTTAAATTTCTCTTGTGTAGGGCTGCATGCGGTCTAGTGCGTGGAGGTCGAGGACGCATTGGCCGCAAGAAGAGTAAGTAGACCCTGAAGATGAATTTGATGCTATTGATCGCTAGGAGAAGGTGTTGGCCTTGTAGCAGAATCCCCGTGAAAGTCTCTCCAAATCTCGCACACGTACCTCGAACTCTTTATGAACTGAATATCTAGAACGAGACTGTCTAAAGAAGAAAGGAGAAAAAAAGGGGGGCGTTAAGGTGTAGATTGTCAGTGGAATTTAGTAGAGAAACTAAGCAAGAAATTAAGGACAATATGCAGACTCTATCAAAACTGTCGTCTGGATAATTTCTGGCGTCGATGCTAGCTTACATTAATTTTATATATCAAGTTGATTAAAAAAAAAGGGCTAGATGCAAGACATCTAATAACACTGTATTTTAGCCGTACCTAGGCTAAGGAACCGTAACTAATCACGTAATATACTACGAGTACACGCATCGCGATGCGTCAGACACACTAGCCGAATCAGTGATTCATTATCGCGTTAATAAGAAATTACGTGGTCTGTTGCGGTTCTCTGGCTTGGGTACGGCCAGACACATTATGTTGCTATCACTCACTGGGCCTTACCTGATGTAGTGCTTGCACAATTATTCAGGCAGGTCAAAAAAAAAGTAATAATACGTAACGTTATTGATCTGGGTTTAAGCTGGCGAATCTTATGGGCCGGACAATTCTGCCAAGTGTGTTTTTCATACGAGACGAATAAGCCAGTAGGTATATGCTGGCTACGTAACGCGCTACAAAGGTGAGCGACAATGCGCCAATAGACCAAATGATCAATTTGCGTTGGATGCAAAGATGCGTTAGTCTGAAGCAGCTGCGTCTAGGGCGCCTTGCATTGGGTCCGTAAGTTTGTAAGAGCGATACCGGTCATCGGCCGGTAATTCGCGCCTTGCTGGCTAGAACTCGTGCCGAAGAGTCTCGCCATGCAAAATTAAGTTTATGGGCGGGATTCATGTTTGAGGGGGGAATTAGGCGATGAAAATGGACGGGGTCCGGCCTGAATGCTCTTTGGGACCTGCCTCGTATAAATATACTTAACACCTTTTTTCTCGTTAAATTGTGTTGTAAAATAGCTTTTTCTTTTTCTCTCGCCTGCCTTTCACTGCGAAAGGTTATGAAAACTAATGTCTCTCTTCTTAAACTTGAGTAGTGCTGTAGAAACAAGAGCCGCGCGAGACATGTACTTGGGGGTGCCTGGGTACCTAGGTACCTCCAGGTACTTACCTGCACGCTGGCAAAACGTTCAGGGCCTGCATTGGCAGCTTTCTAGTGTTGCCAAGACCCATTTGGCAACGTCGCCACAACTCGACATTTGGCCAAGCGGATGTATGTACTCCGGAGTGCCCAGGCACATAAGTACGGAGTGGTATTCACATCTATGTGTTATACTATGCCCTTTAATTCTGGCCAGGTATTTATGCTTCCTTACGTGTACATGCAGTGTCGCAGTTCACTTGAGTAAATGTTGTGCTGTCAAAAGGTAGACTTCTACTCCGTACTCATGTCTTCTAAAGCTGGGTGCACAGTTGCACGGGGGCCCCGGGTACTTGAGTTCCTAGGTACCCAAGGTACTCCCGTACTTGGACCTGAGAAGTGCTGCTTAGTACTAGTAGCTGGCCAACCAGATCGGCCCAATCCACATGCAGGCTAAAGTGCAATTGACATCTGGCCATTCCACTGACTGTCCCACCAGATTGACTTCCCTTCTCAACTTTCCTCTCTACACTGCCCTCTTTATCATCTCCCAACTTTTCTTCAGACTCTCTTCTCTCTCTTCCTCCTTTTGCACCTCCCAATTGATTTCTGGCCCTTTGTTTCCTACTTGTTCGTGTTACATTACTGTGATACATAGCCCGTTGGTTTTCGTTTGTTAGTCTACGCACTGCCGCACCCCACCACCCCTGATCTCCTTTCCTCCATCACCTTGCCAGAGCAGAACAACTTCTGCCATCAACCAACTACCCCCTCGATACCGTTGCGACACCTTGCATCGTCCTTTATCGCCCTTCATCGCCAAACCATCACTTTTCCTGGGCCCAAGCAGTTACTGCCATCACTCTCTGGATCGGGCCGACTTTACATCGTGCGCCCGGTCCTTGACCTCTCCTCTGAGCGCCTCTCCCAGGCCTCTGATCCCTGGCGGCCATCGACTTTCGAGCCGGAATCGTCTTGCTTACTACATTCTGTGAGCTCTTTTCCCAACATACCTACGGTGCTGCCCTGAAACTGCTGGTTTCACATCGCACACCATGACCGCCGACTCGGACAACATGAGCTACATGTATACTGCTACCGCCTATGCCGCCTTGTTAGGCCTTGGCGTTGCCGTCTATCATGTTTCTACCAGAAGGGCCAACAGAAGGGCAGCGGCCAATCACCCACGCCACGCAAGGCCTCAACAAAATGAGCCACGCAGGGAGGATAGAAAGAAAAAGCAACGCCAAGAGACCTACACCTCAGAGGCTCAGGAAGCCTCCAGGGCCAAAGCTCGAGCCCATGCTCCAGAGCCTGCCCCTCGCCCTCAGTCCTCCGTAGACGATACGTCAGACGACGGTGTGGATAACCGCGAATTCGCTAAACAGTTGTCCAAGGCCAAAGAAGGCAAGAAGTTCAGCAACAAGGCTGAAGGAGGAAAGCAGAAGGAAAAGTCCGTTAAGCAGTCCAGGGCCAACCAGATGCATACCGCAGTTGTCGACGAGAAGCCGTCGGACACTGGTGCCGAGGCCGATGATGATCGCTCCCCTGTCGAGTCCCCCGTCGAGTCTCCCAAGGAGTCCCCCGAGGTTCGCGCCGTGGATGCCTCGGGCGTCAGTGATATGCTTGAGCCTGCTGCTGCTGGCCCTTCGGTTCTGCGAATCACTGATACGGACAAGCAGAAGGAGAAGCTCAAGGCAACCAAGGCGCCCCAAAAGACCGAAACCAAGAAACAGCGGCAAAACAGAAAGAAGGCTGAAGCTGCCAAGCAAGCACGCGAAGAGGCAGAGAAGGAGCGCAGGGCCTTGGAAGAGAAGCAGCGAAGAACTGCACGCATTGCCGAGGGGCGACCAGCCAAAGATGGCTCCCAGTTCAAGTCCACCAACGGCGATAGCTCCTGGGCCAAAGGTGCCCCCAATGGAACCGGTGCCAAGCTCGTCGATAACAATGAAAAGGCTTTCCACCAGCCCTTGGATACCATGGAAAAGCCGGCTGCTGAAATCAAGAGCCAGCAGGCACCGGCACAGGCCGGGGACTCGTGGATTTCCTCGCTTCCCTCTGAGGAGGAACAGCTAGAAATGCTAAAGAACGAGGCTGACGAGTGGAGCACTGTCCCGGCCAAGTCTTCACGGAAGAGCAAGAAGAGCGGCGAGTCAGGGGACGAGACGTCCAAGCAGCCAGTTGCTCAGTCCAAGAAGGACACGCCCGCGCCTGCGCCTGCTCCTGCACCAAAGCTGACATCCAAGTCTGGTGCTTCACAGAGCTTCGGTGCATTCTCGGCACTCAATGACGATGCAGCCGAAGAAGTAGAAGAGGAGTGGGATGTCTAAATGCCTTGCGGCATTCAATCCTAGTCGAGTGGCATACCGCAGCCTCCTTGAAACATTTTTCTTCTCCTTTGGGCCCAGGCCATCACGAGATGTACTCTGACCCTGTATTACTACCATCTGTTGGCCCAACAGCTGTCAACTTTTTTCATTTCACGGGTTTTCATTGTTTAGTTTGAAGTGGTTGTATTCTGCAGACCAGCGAAACGTGACGGATCACAAAAAGTCGCATTGATCTTTTTACGTACAGGGAAGACGGGCGCTGCATGGAAGCAGAGGCCTTGGGAAAATCCCCCGTCTAGCAGAAGCTGTGATTCAGGCAGGGCATCATATTGCATGTTTGAATTCGAACTTTTGACGACTTCCGAGCCTGCTTCGATTTGGCCCTGCCAAATTATAAGACCAACCAAAAAAGAAAATTAAAAAAGAACCAAAAAAAAAAAAGAAAAAGAAAAGACGATGGGGATGAATATGGAATTTGAGACGATGAGTCGCTGGACCTTCAATGGTACATGACATGCGATTAAGGGAGCATTGGTGAGGGGGTCTTTGTGCGTGTATGTAGCAATTTTAGGGCCAGGTACTCCGTAAAGCGGCATGAAATTGAGTTTCTTTTCAATATACTCGGTATGCTCCGTCCTGGGTACTTATTCGGACTGGCGCGAACTGCGGAGAGATGCAACAGCAATTACAGGTAGCCAAGGAGGATCATGGAAGGAGACACGTATTCCAAGCGTCGTTGATATAGGTACAACCTGATTTCGCATTCAGATCGTGCATCAACCAGTTGACGTCAGTGGGATGGAATTGGCGGATGGACTTGACACCTGACACTGGTGGACGCCACTTAGCATTGAAGAGTCTGGTCTAAGAGGGATCCACTACCCCCAGCGCCACAGCTGGGCCACAGCTGGGCCACACAATGACCAACGTGTTTGGCTTCGTTGGTCTGGCCAGCTCTCAGGAGAGTGACCATTGCAGAAAACGCAAACCAAGCCCGTGGCCATTTCTACTGGCAAAGATGAAGCAGATAAAAGGCGAGGCTTTTCTGAAGAGAGCACTTGACCTCGTCCACGCTCGCTCTAGAAGAAAGAATCGGCAGTTGGCGGGCAGTGGGGACGGAAGAACGCGGTGTGATGTGCCACCAGCTGCACTCAAAGTTCAGATACCGTCTGGTTGCAACCACGGGATGATTGTCGACTCGAGACTGTGCCGTGCATTCAAGAGATGGCATGCTCCCCCGCACCCCTCCTCCCGTCAGACGCATTGTGCATTTGCTGTCATTTTATTTTTCGAAAGCGTCAGCCTGTCGAGAATCATCTGGCTGTACGGAGTACTCGGTACCGTGCTGCCTTTTGCTGCGAGCATCTGGACAGGGCGCCGGATCTCGCATAGACTACGTGTGGCTGTTGCGATTCTGCGGTTTTTGCTCAGCCAATCACATCCGTCGTCGAGGTTTCTCAGTACCTGGTATTACTAGTACGTTTGCAGTGAGTCGACGATTTTTCTTGTTTTGCCTTGTGAACGACTCTTTGCTTTTGTCGCTGCTCCGTCTCGTCTTGATTTTTAAATGTGCAGCGCGCTTTTGGTGAACGCATATGCAAGCTCCCAAGTTGACGGTCCGTACGACTGCGTTGATGCGCAGGTGTGGACTCTGCGCCTGTGGCAGCCACCAAAGCTACTAGGCCATTTCTCGGGCTTGCACCCAGACGCTGCCCGTGTGCTCGGCACTGGCTGCTCCGCCTGGCCCCTTCAATGCTCGGTTTAGGCGCTTGCAAAGTGCTGCGGCAAATCACCGACCCAACATGGACGTTGACAACATCATCATCATCATCATCATCATCATTATGAACTGCTGCATGTTGCATGGTGCATCACAACATTAAGCACGGCAGACCCGTCAACCCCAGCCAGGCCCACGAGGCCTCGTTGCAAACCCGTTTGTTTCCACGCACGCTAAAGGCCCGGCTGAAACGCCCCTGAGTCTCCAATGCTCCGTATCTCAGACGCCATCTCGCACCTGCAGAATCGACGGATCCCTAGTTGGGCTTAGGCTGGACGGACAAGGCACTCTCTGCACTTTGGGTGCGCCAAATGCGTCTCTCGCGTGCAGGGTGCATTCACTCATTCAATGTTGGCTGGCATCTCCGTCCGGACCATTGACGCCGTCGACGCTTCGCCTCCCTTTACACGCATCGTCGTGTTCGCTGGCTTGGAGAGCGGCGTGGGCTTGGCTTTTGCCGGGTCAATGCCACAAATTGATCACCACCCCGTTCCGTCACATCTGGCCTTCCAGCCCTTCAGCCCTCCCAGCCCTCCCAGCCATCCACTCACCCATCCAGGCGTGATGTGTGCTGTGTAGTGGTGCGGCGTCGCGTCTGTCTGTCTGGTCAAGTGTGACTGGCTGACTGCCTCACTGGACTGGCCGCTTAGCGGTTCCTGTGCCTGCCGGTCTCCCCCATCCGAAACAGCCTGTGTCCGTCCGGGTGCGTCTTTCCATCCTCCCACCTCGGCGCGCATCTCCCCTCTGCTTCCCATCCTCCTTACCTCTCCGGCGGCAGTTTCCATCTCCTCATTTCCTTCTACCCATTTCTGGTCCTCAATTCACCGCCTAACAAGCCCATTTTCTCTTCTTTGTCTAAACTTCAACTCTTCCGTTTGCACTGGCTTTTCTCGGCGCCATTTCCTGACTTGGCTAGTCCATCCAGGTTTGGGCCTCAATCTCTCTCTCGCCCCCTTTGCTCACCAAGACGCCCTTAACGTCGAACCTCATTTCTCGACTTCAGGACCCCCTTGCCCTCCTCTCTTCGACATTACGCCGCTTGCGTTTTCCATTCCAGTCAAGCTGAAAGCCAACAACACCGCCTGCTCTAATTATATTCTACTACTCCTCGATTCTGTGAATCTTCTTATTTCTTCGCGCATCCTCCTGGCACCGTAACCGAGCTTGCCGCCTACAACGCCTGTTGTGTATCATTATATTTCCCCCGACTACCTCGCATCACAGGATATTCCGTAATTGCACCGCCCTCACCGCGACCCGCCGCTTTTCTTTTCTTTTTTGGCGATACGGATCGTCCGGCCTTTCATGTACACTCAACGCCAGACATTAACTGGAAAACAGGCTTGATGAAGGGAATCCCCTGATCAATCGACGTCATGTCTTTGCCCGTCGCCTTCCAGTCGGCCGTCTTCTATTTCCTCGCCTGCACACCATGCTCCAAAGTCCGTCATCGACAAAAAGCAAAGGCCCAGGCGAAGAAGGAGAGGGAAGACAAGGCCAAGTTGGAGACGGAACAGCCCGGCTTGTACCGGCATCCGTCACCTTTTAACACGAATCCGTACTGGCAAGAGGAAATTAGCATGGGTCCGAGCTTGCCAAAAAAGTCTGTGAGCAAGAATTCCAGTCAACGGGGTTTAACTAGCTCAGGCAGGGAGAGTGTGGCACCTAGCATGTCTGAACACACAAATATTGGTGATAGTCGAACGCATTTCAGTGATAGTATGACGGCGATGCCGCAAGATGACACTTTGTCCGAGGACTGGAATCGGCGGCGGGGGTACCAACGCGAAGACGAGGAACTTTGGGGCCAGTGGTCTGGCCCAGGATCAGCCGGATCAGGACATAAGTTGATGGACGCCTTTTCAAAAGCTCGCGACTCTGCCGGAAGATTAATCGAGTCTACCTTGGGAATTGAAAAGGAAGTAACGGAACAGGAACGCCGCGATTTTTATCTGTCTCCCAAGAACCCCCCTGTTAATGATTATCATCCACCCGTGGTCAGCAGCAAACCTCCCCACAAGGACGCCCGCAAATGGATGCTGCAACCCCCCCCACCAGCCAAGATTATGGAAGGCAAGGTTCCTGTCTCGCGTGCTGTCAGTTCCGGAAGCAAGTCAAGTGGGAGGACATTGATAGGAGACGAAGGCAACTTGGGGCGCAAGTTGCAAGAGAAGATGGCCAAGGAGAGAATAAGAAAGGAGAGCAACCCGACTGAAGTCGAGCTTATCGAGTCTCTCTTCACCACCCGCAGTAACCTCTCAGTGGGCCATACCCGGAGCCGCAGCCTGTCATTCAACGACTCCGACGATTCCATTGACAACCCCTTTGAGCGACGCCGTAGTCGTCTTCGTATGCCCGTGGCAGTACCTCCCGGGATCGAATCTGATGCTGACGAGGACACTGTTCCGTCAGCACAAATATCAAAAACGGTCAGCTACACCAGCAGCACGCTGGGACATGTTGCTGCTCAGAGACCGAAGCTGGAAACGATACCCAGCACAGACGGGAGTGGCAACCCTCGCACGCTATCAAAAAAGTCCAAGCGACAAAAGTCTACCAGAACTAAGACCAACGTCTGGGTAGATTCTCCGGTAGGAGATGACACGGACTAGACGCCTTTCCTTTGACACATTCGAGTTTTGCGGCGTCAACCGATGCCCGTTTTGGACCATATCGGAGTTTCATAGCATTCATATTTCGAGTTGCCTTCATTGCATCAAGGGAGCGAATTGTCCGGAGTTTTACTTTTATTGCCTTGTACAGCATGGGGACTTTCATGGGATCGGCGCGCGTTTAGCCTGTATATATATGTTCTTTTCAACAAGATGGACTAGTTATATATGTATATGCATTAATACATCGTTACAGAGGTCCATGGTGCTGCGCACGATAGCCTGTATTATTAGCCGTCGTCTTGATGGCTGCCACATATCAATGCCATGACTGACAATCAAATTTCGTTAACCACCTCACAAACAAACTGGATATTTTGACATTTGAAGATGCCGTTACGCCCGTAAATCAACCTGTATCTCAATTGCCTCAACAACATTTCCCATTCGTACAAAGAAGCGCAAACCCATTTCCCTTTGTCAAACAACGCCGGCGATGCAAGTCGGGGTGCGGGGGAATGTCCCATTCACAGGTGCATGCCACCGTCGTCGCCACCGCCATCGCCATCGCCATCATTACCTAGATCTCGCAGCCGCTCCTCGATTGCTTGCCTCAGCTCCTCATCGTTCAACCTCCCACCTGAATTGTCCCCACTCCCTGCTGTTGGACGAGGCTGACTATCCATATGGATGTGTCCATCCCGTATCGTACCAGTCTGAAATGTGCCATCGGTCCACGCCGAGTGCGTCCCGCGCCCTTGCCCGTGCCCGTGCCCGTGGCCATTCACCTGCGCTTCTGATTTCGCCTTGTCCACGGCCGCCTCTACCTCGTCCTTGCTCTGAAACTCGGCCCAGCTCACGCCTCGCTCCTCCACCTCGGCCCGAATAAGGGCTATCCGCTCGGCCATGCGCTCAATCACCACCTCGTTCTCCCTGATGGCGTCGACGCAGTCCTGGTCCAGGCCCTGGGCGGCCTCGTCGCCGAGGGCTGTGGCCGACCCCTCGGCGAACGGCTTCAGCTGGTCGTTGGAGTATTGCAGGTGGGCGATGGAGTTGCGAATCTCGAGCACCTTTAGGTGCAGCATGGGGACGGAGAGGTCCTTGAGGGCCGTGGCGAAGCGGCCCGGCGATATTGGTCGGGTGTCGGCGGACATGGCTGACTGAGCGGATTCGATGGACACGGCAATACTGTTATTTTCCACATTTACCGAGAGGGGGCGTTGAAAGGGTTCAAGATGACGAGAGGTGAGGGAGAGAGAGTGCGTGTGCGGCAGGTTTTACGCGGATGATGTTGGATGTTGGAGGGGCAAAACGACCAGGCAGCTGGGGTGGCCTGCAACTGTGGCGCCGGGGTTGCGAACTAGGGGGTGCTACAGCCGAAGCTTCTTTGCCATTTTTTTTTCCGGGACCTCAACTCCCACGGCTGGATGCTTAAACAGCCTCGCTACGTGCGGCTCGAAGGGCACGACCGCGTGCAGCAGGCGTCTCCTGTGGTTTCGTTGCCTCCTACGAGATGAACGTGTTCACTATTTACCCGGCGCCTTGCGCGTTCCTGAGGGCGGCGGGACGACGAGTCGCGGCTACGGCGAGGATGCCGCCCAAAGCAGACAGCTCGGTCGGCGTACGATGTCTATCGGGCGGCGTGTATCCGCGGCCGACTGCACACGCGCCCCCGAGGTCGTGGCAGACACCTAGACTGTGTGCGTACACGCGCCCGCTGGGCGTGTTCCACGGCCGGCGCTCGCTCTTCTCCTCGTCCAAGGTTATCCGCAACTACGAGGACCTGCCCCGCGACTACCGCGACCAGGCGGGCTTGCAGTTCGGCGCCAGGGAGCTTTCCGAAGAGGAAATCGGCAGGATATTCGGGGCCGGGCTCACGGCGGCCGCGGGCAACAGGCTGCTGCGCATCTTGCACGGGCGGCGGGTGGCGGGCACCTTGGACGACCCGGCGTTTGCGGCTCACACGGCGCAGTTTCCGGAGGCGCTGATTGCCAGGGGGCTGGAGTATTTGCGGCAGGAGGTCCCGGTGAACGAGGTTATGAACGCCGGGCTGAGGGCGGAGGATGAGCTGAACCAGATGGACCGGGACGTGGAGGAGCGAGAGTCACAAGAGAGGGCGGCGTCGGCGTCGGGGGACAGAATCGAGGGCGAGGGTGAGGACGCAGGCCCCGAGGCGGACCCGGTGTACGGCCGCGGCGCCTTTGACCGGATTCGGGCGCGCAACATTGCCAAACAAAAGGCCAAGGACAAGATTGCCGAGGAGGAGCGGCTGGCTAGGGAAGCGGAGGAGCAGGTCGGGGTGTCGGGCCCCCTGGCCCGGCGAGAAGACGGCAGCCGGGCCATCACCAACCCCAAAGTGGCAGAGTACTACGAAAAGGCCCAGTCGGGCCTGGAGGCGCCGCCGGAGATGAAGACGTGGGAGCGCGTGCTCCCGTCGGCGACGGTCGTCGCGCTGGTGCTGGGCTTCATGGCGGCCGTGGCCACGGTGTACGAGGAGCCCATGCCGCGGTACCGGCTGCTGCGCGACGTTTCCACGGCCCACGCCACCGTCGGCACCTTGATCGCCCTCAATGCCCTCGTCTTCCTGGGCTGGCGCGTGCCGCCGCTGTGGTCCCTGTTCAACAAGTACATGATCTTTGTCGTGGCCACGGTCAGGCCGCCGACCCTGTTCACCGCCGTCTTCTCCCACACCAGGCTGAGCCACATGCTGGTCAACATGGTGCCGCTGTGGTTCATCGGCACGGCGCTGCACGAGGAGCTCGGCCGCGCCGACTTCCTCACGCTGTACCTGGGCTGCGGAGCGGCGGGCTTCCTCGGCAGCCTGGTCACGTACACGCTGAGGGGGTGGTTGACGGTGACGTCGCTGGGGGCGTCGGGCGCGACCCTGGGCCTGTGCTCGGCGTACTTTTGGGAGCACAGGACCGACGGCTTCAAGGTGTTGGGACTGCCGCGGGACGGGGTCCACGGCATCGTGTTCCTGGCCCTGATGGCGGCGCTGCAGTTGGCGGCGTTTGGGAGGACCAGGACGCTCAGGGTGGATATCGCGTCGCACCTGTCGGGGATGGCGGCAGGCATTCTGGGCATTGAGATGCTGAGCAGGACGGCGAGAGGGAGGAGGACGAGGAGGACGAGGGCGAGCAGCAAGGGCGCGCATGCGGAGAAGGAGGTTATTAATGTCTGGGGTGCTGATGGCAGAGGCGGCGGCGGCGTGATGAAGACAGTTGGCGGGAGTGGGAGGTGATTTTGATGAATCTTTGTATTGATAGACTTGGCGTTGGCATAGACTTGCTCATCTCCCCGTGATGTATATATTATATATATATTATATATATATATAGAATATGTCAACTGTAGTACCATTATTGCGCATGTGGCTACGTCTGATGGAGGGAATGGGGCCAGTAGTTATCGAGTCGATTTTGCCGGAAACAGTTGCGCGACAATGGAAACGGACAATGGCCGAGCAGCGCTGGGTGGCTGACTGCAAGCATGATGGTGTCTAGATACTCGGAACATTACAACTACTAGATTGCTAGAAAGAAGCACACGCAAGCTGAGGTCACCCGGTCTGGTATGATAATTTGGTCGCGCTGCGTCTTGGACGGGCCGAAATTGCACGCGTCGGTGGCCGAGTAAGAAGCTACATAGTCTGCCTTGGCACGCCCGAGTAAGTTGAGAAAACTTGAAGGTCGTGCAGCTTTTGTATGATATTGGGGGATGAAGGCCTTTTCAACCACTCGGCTTGTGGCATATAGTTATTACGCGATCCGTGTGCCGGTGCCGCAACAGAGAGGGATTTCCAAACTGTGTGTGCTCTTGTGGCAGAATGTGTGGAGCTGGCGAATCAGCGGCGACTTGGCTGCGACTTCTGGAAGTTGGTGGGGCTGAAATGCATGGAGGGCCAAGGGGCCTGGTTGCGTCTCCTGGGAAACGGCGGTGCTGTGTCAGGGAGTTCAGCCAGTTAGTCACGGAGCAAAAGCTTGCAAGGGGAGAGAAACATCAAACGCTAGTGATATGTAGAGACGGGACACTCGACCGAAAAGCATGTTCCATGTTGCTTTTGGGGTGTGGAGTTTGGCAATTCCCCCCCCTCGATGGTTTGCTGTCGTTGAGGCTCCATATAATATTGGTGATGGTGATGGATGATGATGATGGAGTGATGGAGTGACGGAGCGGTGCATCTTGGCGCATGTTGATGGTAAAATGGAGGCAGACTTGTCCTTTTCCAATCTTTTTCTTTTTCGGCCACTTGCCGGCGCAGCCAGGTCATGAATAATTGTGACCATGGAGCAACGTTAAATGTGGTGTAAAAAAAAAAAGGTGGCCGCAGTGCATCCCAGCCGCATTGACGCCAAATAAAATAAACCCACTGACTGACGCCTTCTTGCCTTCTTAGCCTCCTTTTGGCTTTTGCATTCTTGCGCTCTGGAGGTCACTGCCTCCCCCAATCACCAGACCCTTCTCATCGTCCCCCGTCATCCCCCATCCCCCGTCATCCACACGCCCACGCCCACCGCCCACGCCCACCAGACAGACGCCCGCTTCTCCCGTTTCCGACCGACTCCGCTTGTCGTGTCGATTTGGCGCTCGTCGACGGTCTTTCAACTTTCCTCAAAACACTCCCTGCGTCTTTGTTCACCAGCTGGCAAACACCGTATTCACTCAACGGGACGCTCACTAGGAAATTGGAGCACTGTCATCTGCACACGCCCGTCTAATCAATAGCCTGGCCGTTTGGGACTGGCTCTGCCCTTCGGCATCAAGACGATCCACCAACAACAATCCTCATACTCGGTCGCTCGCGCAATGATTTAGCCTCGGGTCTCTGTGTTGTGTTGGGATTTTTTGTTTCCTCTTTGCCTCCTTGCCGCCTCGCCTGTTCCTCTGCTCCTTCGCTCCTCTGCTTCCTTGTCACCTCCAACCACCCGGAGCAACGCGTCGCCAATTTGCAATTCGCCTTGGACTGCCTGCCAGCCAGCCATGGAAGAGATTACTTCGAGTCCGCTGTCAAATGTGACGGCGTCGTCGCCGCTGTCAAGTCTCTCCAAAACCCCGTCTCTGCCCAGCTCGCCCGACGCGCAACCAGACGCCGGGGTCCGATATCCCTCGCCAACGTCTACATCGACCTCGGGAACGCAATCACCCATCAAGTTGGGCGAACCCGTCGACGACAGCCCGCGCCCTGCCAAGAAGAGACGCATTACGCCCCCCCGCGAGCGTATCACCACCTACCTCAACTTGATGAAGTCACACGACGAGTTCAGCCATGAGGACAACTTCCACATGGAGAGACTGCTCAGTGCGCTGCGCAAAAAGAAGAAGATTGTCGTTGTGGCCGGAGCTGGCATTTCCGTCTCAGCTGGCATTCCCGACTTCCGGTCGTCGACTGGACTCTTTGCGACCCAGCGCAGCCAGCACAAGCTCAAGGCCTCGGGCAAGCATCTGTTTGATGCCTCTGTTTACAAACACGAGTCGTCCACCTCGTCATTTCACACCATGGTTCGAGAAATGAGCGAGATGAGCAAGAATGCCCAGCCTACGCCCTTCCACCACCTGCTGGCTTCCCTTGCTCAAGAAGGACGTTTGCTACGCCTCTATTCACAAAACATCGACTGCATCGACACGTCAATGAAGCCTTTGCAGACCCAGATTCCGCTCGAGCCAAAAGCCCCCTGGCCGACTACCATCCAGCTGCACGGAAGTCTGGACAAGATGGTGTGCACCAAGTGCGGTGATATTCAACCGTTTCAGGGCGACATTTTTGACGGGCCCGAGGCACCGCTGTGCGAATCCTGCAAAAACCTCGATGAAGTGCGCACGGCTCATGCGGGCAAGCGGAGCCATGGAATTGGACGCTTAAGACCGCGATTTGTGCTGTACAATGAGTTCAACCCCGACGAGGACGCCATTGGCAATGTTATGCGAGCCGACCTGAGGGCCCGGCCGGACGCGGTCCTGGTGGTGGGCACGACACTAAAGGTACCGGGGACACGACGACTTGTGAAGCAATTATGCCAGGTTGCGCGAGGCCGCAAAGATGGTCTCACCGCCTGGCTCAACATCGACCCGGAGCCAAAGATTCCCGATTTCAAGGACTGCTGGGATCTCGTCGTCAAGTCAACGTGCGACAATATTGCCAGGTTGGCGTCTCTGCCGCCATGGGATTGCGAGATTGGAGACGACTACTTGGTATCCAAAGAACAGGAACGGGAAAGGCTCTCATCGCCACCAGCCAAATTCGAAGTCCAACTCGACGGCAAAACAACACCCGCCGAGGACCTCCAGGCGATCCCGACTCCGCGTGCAAGCCCGCCGCCGCCGCCGCCGCCGCCGCCGTCCTCGGGCCGACA